GTAAATGTTAGGAGCCACAGAAGGAAGGGATAAATAAACCCTCAATGGTCTGTTTGCCCTGTGTTAAGCAGACACAAGGTATGGGCTTGTATCAAAGCAGCTCAGTTGTTCTGGGCTGTCACTGATGTAGAGCTGTAAAAGCAAGTGCAGCAAAGATATAATGTTCCATTATTTAAACTTTATACCCAAATATAGAAAGTTAACTTTTAAAAACATATCTCTAAGTTATAAAAGGGGTCACAATCACAAATAACTTTAGGGGCATCTTTTAAACCCAGGAAAGGATAAACTTTCAGGTCATATAAGGTATACAAATGTAAAGAACTGGTTTGGCTTTATTAAAATAATCCAGCTTCTATAGTATAGTAGTACCTTTAACCATTTTTTTTAGCCACAGAGAATGACTTCCGTGTTAGGTTACAACCCAGAGGAACATTTTTGCTCAAAGCTTTCTCTTCTGTAGCTCATGAGACATATTTATGTTTCTCATCTCTGCCTCATTTTAGTTTCAATTTTGTCTCAAAGGTTTCTACTGTGTTTCTCCTAAAATTCCCTTGGAGAAATAAAGTGAGACCTTAACATTACAATACAGGAGTCATAGTTGAGATCAAATTCAGATCTATATTTAAATTGAGATTTACCTTGCAAAACTTTAATTTACACTTTCACCCCAATTCCCCCACACACACCATCATGGCAAGCCTCGATGTAGCCTCAAAATACAGTTTAGTCACTTACCCAGAGACACAATGCCTGATTGGGGGCTTGAACCCACAACCTTCCGGTTGCAGCGGATCTCCCGCATCCGACAAAAAAACCCCAAGTGATAGCGGAGAAAAAGCTAAATATGTAAATCAAGACAATGCATCCACTTTGGTGATAAAACTTCCAATGTACAACTAATGTACAGAGGCATTAGTACTCGACGCGACCAACCATGGTTCGTATCTGGCCTGTGGTCCTTTGCTGCATGTCCCCCCTCTACAGCCACTAGTGGCGTAACCCAACCCCCCATAAAAAGAAAAAAAAAAAAAAAAGAATGTGGTTACTTACTTTTAAATATTCAAATATTCCTTTGCCTTATAATTCTTTGTTATGGTCATGCCTAAATATTTATTTTGTCTTTTACTAAAATCCCATGTACTGACATTAACTCACATTTTTATGAATTTGATTATAATCCAGAAGCTCCAGAAAAAATTTAAACTTTTTATTTTTTTTAACGAAGGATATCTGTTTTTAATCTTTCAGAAAAACAGTAGTATCGTCAGCAAGCCGAGTTATTATCTGAGGATAACCAAATGCATTCAATGGCTCAATATCTCAGCTATCCTTAAGAAAGAGAGCCAATAAATCTGCAGCTAAAAAAATTAAATAAAGGAATGCAGAGGCAAACCTGTCGGATTTCCCATTGTACCTAATTTTTTTTTTTTTTTTTTTTGATTGGTTAGAAATGTATTTCATTTTTTTTCTTTTATCTTTTGCATTTTTGTTGTTTTAGGCACCTTTTATCAAACTTTATTATAGTGGATTGAAAACAGCAAAGAAATGTCACTGTATATAGAATAAATTAAACTAAACCGTTTGTATCAAGTTACTAAACTGTGATTAAACAGGTTTATTACAAAAATGTTTGTATCAAAACTTTTTAATTTCTGCAGTTTTAATTATGCACAAAATGCCTAATTCCTTGTCTACTTTTAGGAGCAGCAAAAAAAGCAACACTTAGTGTTAATGGGTAGCCTTAAAGGGGTCTTTGTGAGTGTATTTTAGTGTGAGGGAGTTAAGATTCAGAAAGCTTTCGAAGATGCCTTAAGCCTCTTTATTTAGAGATAGGAATCATTATCACTTATTCTTAAAAAAAAGGAAAGCCAGCAGAGTTTTTTCAACCCTTTAGGGAAGTCCTTTTCTCAGTATTTCTGTTGGATAACAAGGAGCCCAGCTGTGAAATGGTTGCAGGCGGAGGTTCTCTTTTTTTTGGGAGATTTGGAAAATAAATGCACAACCTGTTATAATAAACCCAAAATCATTCCTTTGATCATTTAATTTCCATATTTTTGGTTATATTGCTTTCACTTTTAAAATGCCAAGGCTACACTACATATAATAAAGTTTCCTAATTTGATATTATATTCCACACTATTGAATGTAAAATAATGAAATAAAAAAAAAGTTTGCTTAATTACTCATCCTGTCACCAGTATAAATTTTAAAAGCCGCTGACATATTTACTATGTTTCATAATCTTTCTACATCCATCCATCCCTCCATCCATCCATTTTCTCGCACACTTTATCCTAAGCGGGAGTCTTTCTACATGACATGCCAAAATGGAATAAGTAATAGCTTAAGAAAGGATGAGAAGCATGAGCATAATGTGTTTTCATCCTAAATGAGACAGTCGTCGCAGTATTTTTTAAATATGTTTGGGCATTGCACAATGATCTATGATCATTCTGCCCTAGTTTTTTTAAAGTGAAGATATGGTGAAAACATGAGA